CATATATATGTAAGTTGTTCTCTCTTTAAAATTTTGAGATACAGTTTCTTCTAACAGATCAAAATATACCCTAAATCACTAGTGTATGGCTTTGTTCTAGTCTCCTGCCTGATCACATTTTCTGGTTTTTTTTCTTTTTTTTTTAAATCCTCTACTTTCTTTATTCAAAGAACTTCTTATCAATTCCTTTTATAAAATTTTTAAAAATTTTCATCTTTACAGTCATATTCCATCCCTTCATCATATCAACCCTTATTTTTGTACATACGTAAGTTTTTCTTTCTTTAAAAATTTGGGAAGCTCTTTCTTCTAACAGACCAAAATACACCCAAAATCTAGTGTGTGGCACTGATCTATGCAACAGGCTGATCATATTTAATCATATTCTGTTTTTTTTGTTTTGTTGTTCTTGTTTGTTTTTATCTTTTTCTTTTTCTTTCTTTTTCTTTTTTCTTTCTTTCCCCTTTCCCCTGGTTTCAGGTCTTTCTGACTTGTTTAGAGTATATTTTCTGGGGATGTTGTTACCCTGTTAGCATTTTGTTCTCTCATTCATCTATTCTCCTCTGGACAAAATGACAAAACAGAAAAAATCACCTCAACAAAAAGAACAAGCAGTAGTACCGACTGCGAGGGACCTACTCAATACGGACATTAGTACGATGTTGGATCTAGAGTTCAGAATCATGATTTTAAAGATACTAGCTGAGCTTGAAAAAAGCATGGAAGTTATCAGAGAAACCCTTTCTGGAGAAATAAAGGAACTAATATCTAACAAAATCAAAATCAAAAAGGCTATTAATGAGGTGCAATAAAAAATGGGGGTGCTAACTGCTAGGATAAATGAGGCAGAAGAGAGAATCAGTGATATAGAAGACCAAATGATGGAAAATACAGAAGCTGAGAAAAAGAGAGATAAACAACTACTGGATCACGAGGGCAGAATTCGAGAGATAAGCAATACCATAAGATGAAACAACATTAGAATAATTGGGATCCCAGAAGAAGAAGAAAGAGGGGCAGAAGGTATACTGGAGCAAATTATAGCAGAGAACTTATCCCCAATTTGGGGAAGGAAACAGGCATCAAAATCCAGGAGGCACAGCAAACCCCTCTCAAAATCAATAAAAATAGGTCAACACCCCGACATCTCATAGTAATACTTACGAGTCTCAAAGACAAAGAGAAAATCCTGAAAGCAGCTTGGGACAAGAGATCTGTAACCTACAATGGTAGAAACATTAGATTGGCAACAGACCTATCCACAAAGACCTGGCAGGCCAGAAAGGACTGGCATGATATATTCAGAGCACTAAATGAGAAAAATATGCAGCCAAGAATACTCTATCCAGCTAGTCTGTCATTGAAAATTGAAGGAGAGATAAAAAGCTTCCAGCCAAACAAAAATACTCATGAAAGAAATTGAGGAAGACACAAAGAAATGGAAAAACGTTCCATGCTCATGGATTGGAAGAACAAATATTGTGAAGATGTCAATGCTACCTAGAGCAATCTACACATTCAATGCAATCCCCATCAAAATACCATCCACTTTTTTCAAAGCAATGGAGCAAATAATCCTAAAATTTGTCTGGAACCAGAAAAGACCCCGCATAGCCAGAGGAATGTTGAAAAAGAAAAGCAAAGCTGGCGGCATCACAATTCTGGACTTCCAGCTCTATTACACAGCTGTCATCATCAAGAGAGTATGGTACTGGCACAAAAACAGACACATAGATCAATGGGACAGAACAGAGAGCCCACAAATGGGCCCTCAACTCTATGGTCAACTAATCTTCCACAAAGCAGGAAAGAATGTCTGATGGAAAAAGGACAGTCTCTTCAACAAATGGTGTTGGGAAAATTGGACAGCCACATGCAGAACAGTCAAACTGGACCATTTCCTTACACCACACACAAAAATAGACTCCAAATGGTTGAAAGACCTCAATGTGAGACAGGAGTCCATCCAAATCCTAAAGGAGAACACAGGCAGCAACCTCTTTGACCTCAGCTGAAGCAACTTCTTCCTAGAAACATCACCAAAGGCAGGAGAAGCAAGGGCAAAAATGAACTATTGGGACTTCATCAAGATAAAAAGCTTTTGCACAGCAAAAGAAACAGTCAACAAAACCAAAAGACAACTGACAGAATGGGAGAAGATATTTGCAAATGACATCTCAGATAAAGGGCTAGTATCCAAAATCTATAAAGAACTTACGAAACTCAACACCCAAAGAACAAATAATCCAATCAAGAAATGGGCAGACGATGTGAAAAGACATTTTTCCAAAGAAGACATCCAAATGGCCAATAGACACATGAAAAAGTGCTCAACATTGCTCGGCATCAGGGAAATCCAAATCAAAACCTCAATGAGATATCACCTCACACCAGTCAGAATGCCTCAAATTAACAAGTCTGGAAATGACAGATGTTGGCAGGGATGCAGAGAAAGGGGAACCCTCCTACACTGTTGGTGGTAATGCAAGCTGGTGCAACCACTCTGGAAAACAGTATGGAGGTTCCTCAAAAAGTTGAAAATAGAGCTACCCTATGACCCAGCAATTACACTACTGGATATTTACCCAAAGATACAAATGTAGGGACCCAAAGGGGTATGTGCACCCCGATGTTTATAGCAGCAATGTCCACCATAGCCAAACTGTGGAAAGAGCCAAGATGTCCATCGACAGATGAATGGATAAAGAAGATATGGTGTATATATACAATGGAATATTATGCAGCCATCAAAAGGAATGAGATCTTGCCATTTGCAATGACGTGGATAGAAGTGGAGGGGTTATGCTGAGCGAAATAAGTCAATCAGATAAAGACATGTATCATATGACCTCACTGATATGAGGAATTCTTAATCTCAGGAAACAAACTGAGGGTTGCTGGAATGGGGGGTGGGGTGGGAGGGATGGGGTGACTGGGTGATAAACATTGGGGAGGGTATGTGCTATGGTGAGCGCTGTGAATTGTGCAAGACTGTTGAATCACAGATCTGTACCTCTGAAACAAATAATGCAATATATGTTAAGAAAAAAAAGAAGATAGCATGAGGGGAAGAATGAAGGGGGGGAAATCGGAGGGGGAGACGAATCATGAGAGACAATGGACTCTGAAAAACAAATGAGGGTTCCAGAGGGGAGGGGTGTGGAAGGATGGGTTAGCCTGGTGATGGGTATTAAAGAGGGCATGCTCTGCATGGAGCACTGGGTGTTATGCACAAACAATGAATCATGGAACACTACTTCAAAAACTAATGATGTAATGTATGGTGATTAACATAATAATAAAAAATTTTTAAAATCCATGAAAAAAGATACTTACTGTACATCTTAGAGCAAATATTGAAAAATTATACAGAGATATAGCTAAAAAAGCCAATGGAAGATTTACTGGGTAAATATTAAACATATTCATTAACACAAAATAAGACAAGAAGGGAAGAATTGAGGAAGAAAAACAAGGTGAGATAAATAGAAACAAACAGCAAAATAAGAAATTGAAATACATGCGTGTTAACAATTACATTAAATGTAAATAGGCCAGACACTCTATCAAAAGGCAAAAGTTGTCAGACTAGATAAAAATCAAGAAATAATTGCATGCTATCAATAAGGGATACATTTTAACCTCAATACTCTGTGTCATAGAAAATAACAGAGTGGAAAAGGATATAACAAGCAAACAGTAAATACAAGGAGCTATACTGACTATAGTAATACATAAAATAAAGATACAGTAATGCTTCAAAATGAAAAAAAGGATAAATACAAAAGGAGGATATAACAATAATAAATATATAAACATTTATAAAAATACATTTATATATATACACACATTAAATCTTCAAATTTTATGAAGCAATCACTGCAGAACTAAAGGGAGAAACTGACAAATCTATCATATTTGGAGATTTATTTCACATCTCTCAGTAACTGATAGAACAACTAGACAAAAAATCAGTAAGGTTATAGAAGACCTGAACAAAACTATCACCTTAATATGATGATATTTATAGGCCACTATATTTAACAGCTTAAATATAAAAATTCAAGAGAACTTGGAATATTCATCAGGATAGAATATTTGAGGCATGAAATAAATCTCAACATATTTATTTTGTGTTGAAAATTAAATTAGAATTCAAGAATAATAAAATATCTTGAAAAGCCCCTAAATATTTGGAAATTAAACTACCACTTCTAAATGACCCTTGGCTCAAAGAAAAATTACAAAAGCAATTTTAGGATATATTTTTAGCAGTATACAAATTTAGGGGCGCCTGGGTGGCTCAGTCATTAAGCGTCTGCCTTCGGCTCAGGTCATGATCCCAGGGTCCTGGGATCGAGCCCTGCATCAGGCTTCCTGCTCCGCGGGAAGCCTGCTTCTCCCTCTCCCACTCTCCCTGCTTGTGTTCCCTCTCTTGCTGTGTCTCTCTCTTTCAAATAAATAAATAAAATCTTAAAAAAAACACAACAGTATACAAATTTAAACAGAACATCAAAATCAATGGGATTCAGGTAAAACAGTGTTACAAGGAATATCACTAGCTATAAATGCTTATATTGAAGAAGAAAGGTCTAAAATTATTTAGAATGCTACTTAAGGTAGCTAAAATATTAGTCTAAGTTAATTTATCTAAAGTAAAAAGAAGGAAATAATGATAAAGATAAAATTAGAAATTAATGAGATAGAAATCAGAGAATGAAAATCAATGACAATGAAAGTCAGGGCTTTGAAAATAATCAATATACTTGATAAACCTCTTGCTGTGCTGGTGGAGAAATGAAAGAAAAAAGAAATTTCCAGTATCAGGAATGGAAGAGGGTCCATTACTTACTACACATCCTACATATTTTTAAAATAAGGAATATTAAAAACTATGTAAATGAATTTGGCAATTTAGATGAAATTGGCAAGTTTCTTAAAAGACATTATCATAACTGATTGAGAGAAGATATCATTTAAATTTGTCTATTTGTTTACAGAATTGTACACATAAAGACTGCTGTGATCCTAGGATATGTGTAAAGAAAAAGGGTAAACAATGTGGTTCTGGGGAATGCTGCACACTAGATTGCAAGGTAAGAATCAATCTATTTTATAGTAGCTCAGCATTAAATTTCTTGAAATACTTGTTTCAAAGAGATGAGAAGCATGTCAATACCCTATCAGCCCTTTGCACTGTATTATATCCAAGCACATTGGACCCCTCTTACACTTTAGTCCATTCAGTAATCTGTTATTTCCAGGACTCTCATGTACATAATGCCTGATCATTCTTCTCTCCTGACTTGAATTCCCATCTTTATATCTTATTACAAATCTTTCTTGTACCCATTGAGATATTTCTGCAATCAACATACACCTGAAGCAACCCTCTTAAGGTCTTCTTTTCTTTTTTTTTTAATTTAAATTCAATTAGCCAACATATAATATATTATTAGTTTCTGATGTAGAGTTCAGTAATTCATCAGTTGCATGCAACACCCACGTCTTATTTTCTAACACCATACACCACATGGGGTCAAGAAGTTAGATTAGTTTTTTTGTTTGTTTGTTTGTCTTTGTTAACTAAATTCTCTTCACTGTCTTCTGGTAAAGTCTGCTCTTCCTTTGCAATTCAGTTATTGTTACAATCGACCAATCCCTCTTTATTGAAAGTATTTAAAGAATTCCTGAATAATTGCCCTGTATCCAGAACAATTAACTGGAATCCTAAAGAAAAAAGAAACTCCCGAACAAGGTAAATGGCAGAAGTCCATAACATTGGAGTAAGAATATGCTTTTATGTTTAAAATTTTTCCCCCAAACTTTATTGAGATATAATTGACATATAACATTGTGTAAGTTTAAGGTGTACAATGTAATGATTTCATATAAGTATATATTGTGAAATGATTACAATAAGGTTAACGCATACACCTCATTACATAGCAAGAACATTCAACATTCAGTAAGAAACTTTCAAGTATACAGTATATTATTAACTTTAGTCATCATGCTGTACATGAGATCCCCACACTGATTCATTTTATGGCTGACAATTTGTATCCTTGGCCAACATCTTTCCATTTCCCCCACAGTTTTATTTATTCCTTTCTGATTTGGATGCCTTTTAATTCTTTTCTCTTGCCTAATTGCTCTGGCTAGGACTTCTAGTACTATGTTACACAGGAGTGGTAAGAATGGACAACTTTGTTTTTGATCTGACAGGTAAAGATTTCAGCTTTCCACTATTGAAAATTGTTTGTTCAGGCTTGTCATATATAGCTTTTATTATATTGATATATGTTTATTCTATACACAAACTGTTGAGAGCTTTTGTCATAAAAGTGTGTCAAATTTTGTCAGATGTCTTTTCTGCCACTTTAGAGGATTGCATGAATTTTGCCCCTAATTATATTAATGGGGTATATTATGTTTATTGATTCCTGTGTGTTGAATCATCCTTCCATCCAGGCATAAATCTCACTTGATCATGGTATATGATACTTTTAATGGGTTGTTGAATTTGGTGTGTTAGTATTTTGTTGAGAATGTTTGCATCTATATTCATCAGGGATATTGGCCTGTAAATGTCTCTTCTTGTTTCTTCCCTTATTTGTCTTTGGCATCAGGGTAAAGCGGGCATTGTAAAATGAGTTTGGGAGTGTTCCCTCCTTTTTAATTTTTGGGAGAGTTGAAAAAGATTAGCATTAATTCTTTAAATATTTCATAGAATTCACCTGTGAAACCATCTACTTCTGGTCTTTGTTAGAAGCTTTGATAACAAATTCAGTCTCTTGTGTTTGGTTTGTTCAGGTTTTCCATTTCTTCATGATTCAGTCTTGCTAGGTTGTCTGTTTCTAGGAATTTAGCCATTTCTTCTAAAGGGTTATGCAGTTTGTAGGTGGATAATTGTTATAGTAGCCTTTTATGATACTTCGTATTTCTATGGTATCAATTTTAGTGTCTCCTCTTTCTTCCATAATTTTATTTTATTTAGTCCTGTCTCTTTTTCTTGGTTAGTCTAGCTAAAGGTTTGCCATTTTGTTTATCTTCTCAAAACTCAACCCTTGGTTTAATTGATTTTTGCCCCTATTATTTGTCTGGTCTCTATTTCATTTATTTCTGCTCTGATCTTTGTTATTTCTTTCTTTCTACTAAGTTGGGGCTTAGTTTGTTTTCCTTTTTTAATTCCTTTAGGGATAAAGTTAGGTTATTTGAGATTTTTTTAATGTAGGCATTTATTGCTGTAAACCTACCTCTTAGAACTGCTTTTCCTATGTCCCTATGTTTTGGTATGTTGTTTTTTTATTTTTATTTATTTTAAGATACTTATCTGATTTCCTTTTTTTTCTTCTTTGGTCCATTGGTTTTTCAGGAGTATGGTGTTAAATTGCATATTTTGTGAAATTTTCAGTTTTTTCCCTGAGGTTTCATACCATTGTGTGTGGAAAAGATATGAGATATTATTTCAATTCCTTTAAATTTCATAAGACTTGCTTTGTGGACCAACATATGTTTTATCCTGGAGAATGTTCCATGTGTGCTTGAGAAGAATGTGTATTTTGTTCTGTTGGACATAATGTTCTATATATGTCTTTAAGGTCCATTTGTTCTATAGTTTTATTCAGGCCTGCTATTTTCTTCCTAATTTTCTTTCTGATTGATCTATCCAATGTTAATGGTAGGGTATTGAAGTCCTCTACTATTACTGAATTGCTATTTATCCCTTCAGTCTGTCAATATTTAGTTAAAATTTTAGGCACTCCAATATTTGGTGCATATATAGTTACAAGTGTTATATTCTCTTCACTTTCTTCGTGTGTGTGTGTGTGTGTGTGTGTGTGTGTGTGTGAGATTTGATTGGAAGTCTATTTTATCTGATTTAAGTATAGCAAACCCTGATGTCTTTTGGTTACCATTTGCATGGAATATATTTTTTACTTCCCTTTATTTTCAGCCTATGAATGTCCTTAAACGTAAATTGAGTCTCTTGTAGCCAGTTTATTGTTAGATTTTGCTTTTTATCCATTTTCCACTCTGTGTCTTTTGGTTAGAGAAAATCCATTTACATTTAAAGTAATTATTGATAGTTAAGAACTTTCTATTGCCATTTTGTTAATCATTTTCTGGTTTTTTTGTTTGTTTGTTTGTTTTAGTTCTTTTTTTCCCTTTAATCCCCTCTTGCTGTCTTCCTTTGTGATTTATTTTTTGTAGTGATGTGCTTTAATTTGTTTCTCTTTACCTTTTGTGTGTCTACTGTAGGTTTCTTCTTTGTGATTGGATAAGGCTTACATAAAACATTTTATAGATATAATAGTCTATTTTTTAAGTTTTTATTTTAATTCCATTTAGTTAACATACAGTGTTATATTAATTTTAGGTATACAATGTAATAATTCAGTATTCTGATAGTTCCATACATCAGCCTGTGGTCATCACAGTAAGTGCATTCCTTAATTTCCATCACATATTTAACCCATCGCCCCACCCAACTCCCCTCTGGTAACCATCAGTTTGTTCTTCATAATTAAAAGTCTATTTCTTGATTTGATTCTCTCCCTTCTTTCTTTCATTTTTTTTTTACCTTTGCTTGTTTTATTTCTTAAAGTCCACATATGAGTGAAATCATATGGTATTTATCTTTCTCTATCTGACTTATTTTGCTTAGCATTATACTCTAGCTCCATCCTTGTCATTGCAATGACAAGATTTCATTTTTTTTATGGCTGACTAATATTCTATTGCATATATATATATGCCACATCTTTTTTATCCACTCATCTATCGATGGACACTTGGGCTGCTTCCTTAATTTGGCTATTGTAAATAATGCTGCTATAAACATAGGGGTGCATGTATCCCTTTGAATTAGTGTTTTTATATTCTTGGGGTAAATACCCAGTATAGTGCAATTGTTGGATTGTAAGGTATTTTTATTTTTTTTAAGTTTTTAATTAAATTCCCAGTTAGTTAACATAAAGTGTAATGTTAGTTTCAGGCATACAACATAGTGATTCAATGCTTCCTTACAACACCTGGTGCTCATCACAAGTGCAATCCTTAATCCCCATCACATAATAGTCTATTTTAAGCTGATAATAACTTATCTTCAGTCACATACTAAAGCTCTACATTTTTAATTCTTATTTAATTCCCCCACATTTTGTTCTATTAATATCACACTTTGCATCTTTTTATGTTGTGCATCTTTTAACAAATCATTGTAACAATATTTACTTTATAAGACTATTTTCTTTTAACTTTTGTACTAGAGATAAATGTATTTTGCCACCATTACAGTATTAGAGTATTCTGAATTTGAGTATATATTTACATTTACCAGTGAGTTTTGTACTTTAAATATTTTCATGAGTTAGTGTCCTTTCATTGAATTTGATGAACTCCCTGTAGTATTTTTTTTTTTTGGATGATACACAAGCTTTAATCCCATCTATAATTTTATCTGATACCATAATACAATTTAGCTATATTGCATAGGATGTGCCAACAATCATATTAATAACCAACTAAACTCCAGGACTTTGCTTGAGTGACCCTTTTAATGGTAAACTCCAGGTCACAACACATTAACTGTCAGTTCAGCTACACCAAGGTTTGTGGAGACAATGGCTTCTGTGCCCAAGCAGGTTGCAAATCAATTTCGAATGGAACCTGGTATCACCCTGAAGGAATTCTAACTTCATACTGTTGGGGTAGTATACCAAGATGGCTTCAGAGTGGACTAACTTTACACAGCACATTTTTAAAAAGGCACATTTATTCAGCGTCATGATCAGACTATTACATTTAGCAATCAACAGCATGGGTGCAAAAAAAAAAAAAAAACTACATTAAAATCCTTTGTTGGGATGCTTTACACTTTCCACAGAACAGAAACTAAAATAACCTATTATACAATTAGTCACAAATACAGTCCTTGAGTTTTTTGCCCATACACATGAGTATTGTCTAAAACATGTCTTCTTTGTAGCAGCTAGGCCCTGCCACCACTGTGCTTGGCCAAGTTCACAAATCTGTTGTAACCTGCAGCTTCCCTGTCACTTCTCTGGCTCTCCTCTTCTGCTAAGCTTTG